AAAAAAAAAATTAGAGAGTATCGTTTTTTTCTTATTTCTGTTATCCCTCCGAATCCAGATAATGTAATGTATAATCACTAGCAAGTAGCAACTCTAAAGCATGCAAAATTGTTCAATATGCAACCGGTTAAGGATTGAGTTTATGCAATGAAGATCGTGCACGGCTGGATTGAGTGCCGATTTTCATCATACTAAGCGTATGGACAGGTGAAGCAAATATTTTGAAGAGTAATATGGAGATCGAAGGCTCCATACTCGTTGCATTTTCTTTTAGATTCCAATTTAGTACCCATTCAATTCTATATTATTGAAGTTAAGCATCTTTTATCTCAAGTCTTAGTCCATCTTTCCTTCTATTATTGCCATTTTATTCTTTTTTCTCTATTTATCATATCTTTACCAGATATTCTTTCTTCTCCCATTGCATCAACCTCTTAACCAAATCCTCTTCTTTAAATCCCTGGCACCTTCTCTTAACTTCCTTGCCAGCCAACCTCGTTGAAATCCCTTGTTTCCCTTTCAGAAGGCCCGAACCCTCCGTAGGATTTCTTCCTGGTATCAACTGTTTCATGACGTTCTGAACTCGACTCATACTGCAAACAAGAGAGACCTGAGACACACAACATATATAACCTAGGGATCCCATTTCTTGATTGAATAAGAATTCATCATTGGAAATGAGTGGGAAAAAGGGTAGTATTGAGATTAATATCCCTTCTAAACAGCAAGAAACTAAGAACAAATCTAGCAAGCCAAGCTTTTCATGCAGAGAACAGATTTTGAGTGTCTGGAAATTTGCCAAAGAAGACATCAACAGAGTATTATTCTCACTTAAAATGGGGTTTGCAGTTCTTCTTGTATCACTTCTAATACTATGCCAAGCACCTTATCAAGTTTTTGGCATCAATATTGTCTGGGCCATCCTCACTGTTGCCATCATGTCTGAATATACCGTCGGTACGTCTATAGAATTCACATAAATATTTTGTTCTATCTCTAATTGCATAACCTTTTAGACAAGGTGGTTCAATGTAAATGAATAGCTATGCATCATCAATCTTTATGTCTATGAAGGTGCCACATTCAGTCGAGGATTCAACCGAGCATTTGGTACTATAGTCGCGGGAATCTTAGCCATTGCTATCGCTCAGTTAGCTTTGAGCATTGGAAGGATTGCGGAGCCTATTGTAATTGGTCTGAGCATCTTCACTGTCGGTAGGACAGATAAACAAACTCATTATTTTCCTTTTCAATCAAAACCACCAATTCAATTTCTTAATTTAGGGCCTGTTTGTTTTTAATTCTCAAATTCTACAGTAAATCAATTCTCATTTTCAACCACACATTCTTCAATAAAATAATATTTTTCATCATATCAATACTTTCTTTTTTTTTTTTTCCAACCACACATTTCTCATCATACTCATTTTTTACAGTAAATCAATTTTTATTTTCAATCACACATTTTTCAATAAAATAATATTTTTCATCGCATCAATACTTTTTTCTTCTTTTTCAACCACACATTTCCCATCATATCACTATTTAAAAATCAATTCTTCCCCAAAAAATCCTTACCAAACAAGCACTTAATACGGTTATGAACAGCAATAATGATCAAACAAAAACATAAACTCCCACACAAACACAGATTTATAGTAGTAGTTCCCTCTCAAATTGGTAGATTTGACCACTCACCGTTGTTGATTTTTCACTAATTTGGAGAAATAATTTTACAAGGAAAATCACACCTCCATGTTCAGTCCCACACCTTAGATCAATTCTGGTTCTCGATACCCCAAATTTACAATCGAGGATAAGTGAACGATATAGTTAAGGTCCACAGAAACGAACCCTCCCAACCACCAACATTACCACCACCGAAGGCAAACTCATATGACTAAGGAGAAACTTGGTTTAACATTTTGCAGGGGCTGTAACATCATTCATGAAGTTGTTGCCATCTTTTGTGCCCTATGAGACAGGATTTCGAGTTATACTTTTCACCTACTGTTTGATCATTGTCTCCGGCTATCGAATGGGGAACCCGATCAGAACTGCCATGGATCGACTTTACTCAATTGCCATTGGAGGGATCATAGCAGTAGCAGTAAATGTATTCATTTTCCCTATATGGGCTGGGGAACAGTTACACAAAGAACTCGTCGACAACTTCAATGCAGTGGCTGATGCACTTGAAGGTATTCTAATAATACGAATACATAAACCCTTTATGGCTTGTTTGGTAAAGTAGATTGAAAAGTATTGGAATTTATTAAAACTACAAAAAAAAAGATACTAAAATTTTACCCAAACACGTCTTCGACATATATCTATCCGTTCTCCATTTTATGTAATGTTAAAACCATTTGGTTTATCGCAGAATGTGTGAAGAAGTACTTGGAAGATGATGGATCAGAACATTCAGAATTCTCAAAGACTGTCTTGGATGAGTTTCCTGATGAACCTGCATATAGAAAATGCAGATCCACATTGAACTCCTCTGCCAAATTTGAATCCTTGGTACTAATTATCTTCAATCAAGATAATATAGAGAAATCTTTTCTCCTTTCTTCACAGCCTTAAATGTTTGTATGCAGTACTGTAAGTGTTAGCGAGGAAAGGGAAGTTTAATTAAGAGTTGAGCACTTTTATCCAGAACCACCAGATTCCAGAACCAACCCAAACTAGCGGGTTCGAGTTAAAAATGACTGTTTCCAGAAAAATTACCCAACAGTTATGCTTTACAATTTTTTTCCTGAAGCATAAAGGAACCAAGCAGGACTGGACCAAAACTTATCGATTCTGATCTGCGTGTAGAATTTTCACTCTAGTGGTATTTAGTTCATTTCATTTCTCTTTAGACCCCAATCTAACCTTACTACACCTACCATGTTTTCAGCGCTACTTACCCAACATATCTAGCTTTAAAAACGTAAATATTGAATTGAGTACCCCATGCTTCAGTACTGCTTACCTAACATATACATACTTTAAAATACGTAAAATATTGAATTGGGTCAAGAAAGTCACAAGGATTATTTCATCTTCTTTCTGGTTTTGTGCATTAGGGCAATTCAGCAAAATGGGAGCCACCACATGGCAGGTTTCCGCATTTCTTTTATCCGTGGTTAGAGTACGTGAAGGTCAGTGCAGTTTTGAGATACTGTGCATACGAGGTTATGGCGCTTCATGGTATACTTCACTCAGAAATTCAGGTACCTTTCTTCTCTGTTAATGCTATAATTTCAACGAATTTAAACTTTTATTGAATATCCAAATGCAAGAACCAGTACCCTTCTTAAGAAACCGTAGAAATTTAAACTTTTATTGAATATCCAAATGCAAGAACCAGTACCCTTCTTAAGAAACCATAATAGTGTCTGCACAACAATGATACTCGTCTAAAAACTTAAAACTATTTAAGATCAATGAAATTTAGATATTTATATCCATATCTCCGATGAGCTCCTTCACGTGNAGCTAGGATTTTTTTTTTTTTTGGGGGGGACAAAATCTTGATATGGACAATTTTGAAAGCACGACTACTTTTCATTTGTTGCGACAAACAAGGATTGCGTGTCCAAATATTCTTCTCGTCTCATAACGCATATATTCTTTTTGATGAAGTTCAGCATAGTATCAAAACAAACGAGAATTGTGTGTCCAAATATTCTCTGGGTCACTCTTTTATGAAAATTTCACATGTCAGGCCTTAACTAAAAATTGTATTTAGCATATACATGTATAGGATGAGAGATGAAATTCTTCCTCTTCTCTAGAGATAATTCAACATGGTATACTGGGATAAACAATACAAGAATATTGAGTTCAAATCTCGTCGTAACCTCTATGACACCTTTGATTAAATTATAAATAATGTATGAACTGACGTCTCAATTTCCATTGTCTTTTAGGCCCCGTATAATCTTAGAATCACATTCCAGGAAGAGATCCAAGAGGCCACAAATGATGCTACTGAGCTAATCAGATATCTTGGCAAAGATATATGTAATATGAGGAGAAGCCTCAAACCTTCCCAACTGAAAAGGGTCCATAGCTCAATAGAAAGACTCCAAAGGGCAATCAAAATACACTCATACCTCCTTACATCTGCTGCTAATGAGCCGTCGGATAACTCATCGAAGCTCTCTCATGCAATCTCTTCCACCTTTCCTGACCTCCCAATCCAACTGGTTGAGCCTGATAATAAATGTATTGAGCAAAACTATAATCTGCCATCCCAACCAAACTGTGCAACAGCAGAATTGCAGAGAGAATCTTACCATGAGATGATGAAGAAGCAATCGAGAAGTAGGCTCAATTCTTGGCCATCGAGGGAAGTTGATGCTTTTGAAAATGAGAGAGGTTTTAGCTCAGATTTCATACCCAGGATGCAGGCGCTGCAGAGCACTGCTACACTGTCACTTGCAACTTTTACATCATTACTTGTGGAGTTTGTGGCTCGACTCGATCATTTAGTTGAAGCAGTGGAAAACCTGTCAAAGATGGCCAAATTCAAACAGGAGGCTCTATGAGAGAGGCAAATGCTATCTATAGCACTGCATGTTTATAAAGACTACAAAAATGTGAAGGCAATTTCAAAGATTTTACCATTAAATGTAAAATAAAACTCGATGACTTGTCGACTCATGAATCCGTCGTGCTCTGACCTTGTATTCCCAGCAAGAATTCAATAGAAAGTTTCTGGCCCATGTACAAATCAAAACCATGAAGAAAAAACAAGTTCTCTCTTCCCTATCTTGGGCAACATTTTCTCCCATAGTGCACTTCTATTTCGTAAGAGAAATAGACAATCGAAAACTGGTTCCAATTTAATGCACAGGGTGTGCATAAAAGGCAACACATGAACAAAGGGACAACCTTCTACTTCTGTGTTGATTCAATTGAGAATAATTGAGAATCGGAGAAAACAATCCCATGCACTTTTTTAATGTTCACACTGGTAGATGTGTGCCCTACCCTAGATGACACCTGATTTAATAAAGCCAGAAATAAACCCTGATGCGTGATAATATCTCAAAAATCCGGAATTCACCAAATCACTAAAATATTCTCTTATGTAAAATAAGAAAACAACCGTTTGACCTCTATAACAAAAGATTTTGCCAAAAATCATCATAGGGGTGCAGGGGCTTTGCTGAGTATTGCTCAGTTTCAACTTGGAAAAATGGAGTCATTCATTTAAAACACTCTGTTGAATTAAAACTGCACTGTTAAGTGTTAACCAAGAATGTATTCAAATTTTCTGAGTGGCACTTGTGAAGTGAATGATGAATCCAAAAATTACAGAAAAACATTTCTCATTCACTTGTCATAAAATGGCCACAAGATCACAGAACCTAAATATCCTTTGCTTCACAAAGATCTTCACTGCAAGAATTTACCCAACATGTTTCCATTTCTTGAGCTTAATGTAAAATAGTTAATGCTTCAAGAAGAAAAGATAAAAACTCCTTGAGTTTCATTACCCATTGCCTGAAATATTTCATCAGAATTCTCAGCACAGCGAGTGACGAACTCTTTAGCGATCAGAAATCTTTAGCCAACAAAAAAAAAAAAAAAAAAGGATCTCAGGGACATATTACGCTAGCACTTACGTCATTCATGATTTATAGGATAATATTTACCCAAAACCTGTTTCTTTGATCAAGATCTCTAAATACAAATAAAGAATGCTATAACCTTCCGCGTAAGTTTTAATATTTGAAGATGGCAAAAAACAGTAAGCAAATAGAAAACTGATAAGCGTCATTGTGGAGGGAATGCACCAAGCCAGAAACATTATTTTATAACAAACTATCATTTGCCTCTACACGACATATTATGAAAACCTTGATGGAAGAAAAGCAACTCTTTACATGAAAAGAAAAAAAAGGATGACACTTTCTCAGAAAGCTAACCAGCCTAGCTGTCTTCTCCTTATTGTCACACAAGCTTAATGGTAAGAAGAAGACTTCCTTAAATAAAAAATAGGAGAGAAGAGTTTCTCATATTCAAATCACTAAATAGACATGAAATGCAACACACACACACAAGTACATGCACAGAAACTGTGCTTTTAAAACCAAATTAGAAAAACTGGATAACAAATCTTTCTTACATCATGGTTTGATGTGTCCTGAAAGATTTTGCAGGCTGACCGACCATGTCTCCAAGGCTAGAGAGGCTGATACCAGAACTGCCCACAAACATCGCCATCAAGTTTCCTCCATGCACCCTTCCTTCTGGGATTGTACCCAGAGATGGGCCGCGTCCAATATGCAGATGAGCTTGATGAAGAGCATGATAATTCCAAATGTTGGCAGAAGTCACAACACTATCTTCGATCTTTCTGATTTCAACACTCTCGTCCTCAGCAGTTAAAATATCATTGATCTTAGCAAGTTGGTTGGACTTGGACTCCGGGAAGACAGATCCTATAGTTGCACCACTGTGAACCCGTTTGTCCTTAATCAGGGCACTGTGAGATGTGCAGAGTCCAGTCTTTGCCCTGGCAAATGAGTTACAGGGACTGTAACTTTTGCCAAATTCAGAACCGGGCTGACCCCAAGAGCATATCTTTCCTCCACCATGGGCCTTGCAGAAATCAGTGCTGCCTTGAGCACTTTTTTCACACCCTTCGAATTTACACCTCTTGCCCCCACCGTGACGGACACAAAAGTCAGTACGCCCCCTGGCGCTCTTTGTGCAATCTGGGACAGCACACCTTTTGCCGCCCCCGTGTGCTACGCAGAAAAGGGTCCCTCCATGTACACTCTTTGGGCAAACCCCAACTTGGAATGTACAGCGCTTCCCTCCACCATGGCCCTTGCAGAAACGTGTGCTTCCTTCCGCACCCTTGTTGCACCCTAAAAATGTGCAGCGTTTGCCACCTCCATGAGCCTTGCAAAACATTGTGCTTCCCTGAGCCCCTTTAGTGCATTCGGGATACTGACATCGGCGGCCACCTCCATGTGATATGCAAAGGCCAGAGAGGCCTTCAGCACTCTTTGTGCAGTTCTTTATCTGGCATCTCTTGCCACCGCCATGTCGAATGCATAATCCAGATTTTCCTCTGGCTGCACGATTGCAACCCTCATGGCTGCAACGCCGGCCACCGCCATGAGCTATGCAAAAGTCCGTACGTCCTTCTGCACTTTTTGTACATCCTAAATATTCGCAACGTCGGCCACCACCATGAGCCTTGCAGAATGCAGTTCGACCCTCGGCTCCTTTATGGCAACCAGGTCGCTGACACCTTCGACCACCACCATGAGCTATACAGAGACCAGAAGCACCTCTTGCTCCCTTCGAACATCCCTGAAATTGACACTGTTTAGTAATACTACTACGCTGCTGTTGTCGCTGTGTTATCCCGGAAGTACAGGTGACTGGGCTTTTTGGTGTTTTTACAACACTTGACGAGATATCTTTTACAACTGTTGCTGTCTTAGTTTGCCTTAGAGCCTTGTTGAAAAAGTAGTTTGTTTCCATGTCTGGTGCAGTCTGCAGTGGATAAATAGGACTTCCTATTGATCCTTTATGTATATTTAAAGCTCCATCACCAACTGGCATTTTGAGGATACTTTTTGGTGCAGTGGAGCTTCGATGAACATTTGCGATATCAGATTCAGCAGGCCCACTGGAAAGGCTCAACTCCAAATCAACCTTAGGATATGCATCAAGTGATTTCAAATTGTGGCTGGCTGATAGTTTTGGACTTTGCGACTTCTCACGACCAAGATGGAGAGTGAAATCCAGTTCTAGATCCATTGTGGACTCTCCTTCAGTTTCTTTAGCTGAAGGTAATGAGGTGCACGCAGTCACTGTGCTGCCTTTACTGTCTGAAGAACTGCCCAGCTGGAGACATAATGGAGATCTAATTTGCTGGTCCAGAGATCCATTTATCAGGCTCCATTTACGCTTGATTTCCTTAGGAGCAGATGCCAAGGGAATTGGAAAAGCAGGTGAATCAAGTTGTAAGATTCTATCAGCATAACAAATGCCTCCAGCTCCAGCTCCAGCTCCAGCTCCAGCTCCTCCATTTTGGATGGAATTGCTCGGATTCTTGAATGCATTAGATACAGGGTTAGCAGCAAAACGCTGATTGTGGAATCTAGCATCCATGACCAATAGCTAAAAGAGACCACACTTATTTAAACCAAAACTCAGTTGCAAAGAACAGTCTGCCTGTCATCCGGGCTTACAGAAATTAGTGACAAAACTACGGTTAAGTGTCTCTAAAAGAGTACAAACAACCCCCACTCACGAATCCCGAAGTATCGCAGCGATCCATTTACTATAAAATGTGATCTGAATTCCACTAATTAGCAGCAATACCGGGTGATAAATTTACACAAGTTCGCATTCCTTCAGTATATTATGGCCGTTGGTCATCCTGTTCCATGAGGATCACACTATTGATAAGACATGATTGCGAACCATAAGTTAAAATAATGCAACATAACAAAAGATTGCAACATTTCTTAACAAGGAAATAAGTTATTCTTTATCCTACCAAAACATTTTTGCAGAATGTAATGCTTCATGTCAATATTAATGATGGAAACTCCAAAGTGCAGATAAAATAGAAGAAGGTAAATAAATGTAAATCGAAAAGTTAGAAAAGCAGTAATGCTATACGTGCCAATGAAATCTATTAAATGCATCTACAACTCTAACACGGAAGTTAGTATTTCACTGTTTTAAATTCTGTTAGCCAAATATAACAGCAGCAGAAGCCGTACAAATACCAAGTTAGCCTGTAGACCTTTTCAAAAATGTGTTCGATTGGTGAACTATTTTACTTATTAAATGCAAATGATAAAACTGTGTTGTTACATCCAAAATATTGGCTTCAATTGTAACAGGGACATTATTGTTCTTTCCAATATACTATCACTACAGTCAACACCATTGTGAAATCCACATCAATCACATTCTTCTCTGTGCAAATTTTTCAATGTATGAAAATATCCTACTGTGATTAGGGAAATAACGGAAGTTCAGAAAATAACAATCAGTACAGAGATCTGCACGCCCAAAAGCGTTTATACATGGATTCTCAGAAGGGAAAGAATACACTGAGAATACACTGTCGTTCTTGTAATCGAGGCAATAGCTTTTGCTGAGATCCCAAATCGTCAGTGAGGAACCTATGGTTAACAGGAACAGTAACTAATGGCAGACAAACTTTTTCTTTTTCCTTATTTCATTTCAAGGTGGGGAATTAAACCCCTGTTTGGTAGACATTAAAATTAGATTTTTAGCAAATTTTGATAAAAGTTGATGGAATGTGTAGTTGAAAAGTTGTAGCTCCTATGAAATGCGTGGTTAAAATCAATGGTTGACTTTGACTTAGATTTTAATCATATTTTTTACAGTTACCAAACAAGGTGTAAATAAGTGATAAGAAAGAGCTCCATCATAATTATAAGATCAAAGGAAAATGAAAACACGTGTTCTTTCATTCCCGAAAAGGATAGTTAATCATTGCACATGAGGGACAACAATCTCATGCTTAACAAAGATTCTAATGTGGCCTAGTCCAGTATTAAAAAAATTGCCATTGGCAACTCCAGAGTTATGCAATTCAGCACAAACACATGGAATTAGTCTAAATTTCCTAACTGCGTAAACAAGTACAAATTAATGATCAGAAATAATATGAGTTCGCAGTAATCAAAAGACCATCCAGAAACAGCTAACAGAAGCAATTATCCAAGTTCATAGCATTCCCGACAATGAGAGAATGGATACTGGTAAAACCCAACTATTGTAATAATGTATTAAACAAATTAGGATATACTTGTACAATCAAAATGTTGAAAAAACAGGACGAAATAAAGCTGAATAGAGAAAGCATTGACAATAAAGAAATATCAAAGCCACAAAAAAGTAGGGAGAACCTTTATCCATCTTTTTGGAAGGAAAAAAGAAAAAAAACTATATCAACTTTAAACCACGTTCGGGACAACTTTTTGAAACTGTAAATTTAGATTGGAAAATTTACGTCAACAAAAAGACGAGAATTTCTAGAACTTACCTTATAGTAACAGGTTGAGCTGATTTTTTCAGGAAATCCTAGCAGAATTAACAAGCTTCAAACTTCCTTCCAGAATCAAGAAATAATAGGAAAGAAAAAAAAACTAATTCACATAACTACCAAACAAGATATATGACAAAGGCATATGTACATACACACAATGAAAAACAAAAATTTTAATTTTTTTAACAGATAAAAGAGTTTCGGAACTAAAATTAACCCAGATACAGAGCTAAATAGCTGAAATTGGAAATTCGGCTCACAACACCTTCAGAATCTGCACAGAACTAAGAAAAAAGATAGGCTCGTAAACCAAACAAGATATATGCCGTGACGTTGGCATACATACACAACAAAAACTTCAGATTTAATAGATAGGAGTTTCGGAATTAAGATTGACCCAGGTACAGAAATAAATAAGCGGAACTGGACATTCAGCTGAAAACAGCAGTAGCATCTGAGCAAAACTAAAGAAAAAAGTAAAATTCACCGCTCAATCAAAAAAACAGGCCCAAGTTTTACTAATGGTATACATGAAACATGCGTGATTTCGGATAAAACATTAAATTGGGCATGAAATGAAATTAAATTAAATTGCAAAATAACAAGTAAAAAGCATTAAGCGGGAAATGAATCAATGATGATATAAAATGGGAAGAAATTTACCTATTAGATTCAATAACTAATCATACCAACCACCAAGAGATTGTAAGATATAGTTGCACAATATATGTTGTATGTATGTAGAAAGAGAGAGATGGAGAGAGAGAAAGCTAGGGCTTCGTGAGCGCCGGCAAAGCACAAAACAGACAGAGATGTGTGATTTTCAGGAGTATATAAACATGGAAAAAGCCATATGTAGAGGATTATTGTTTACAGAATTTTTACAGATTGTGCGTCGGCATCACCTTTGGCAGTTTTCCGA